AAAAGAAAGGGAATGTGATTTATGAGGTGTCAGTTAGCTCAGAAGTTTGGGTACGTCATGCTAACCAACCATCCTATCCTGTCAGCGCCTGATCGAATCTTGGAGAACAGGATAGAAAATTCTCGTATTGTTGGCTGCATGCTGGTTGGTTAAATCTAATCCAGTCGATCACGTGAATTTTCTTCCAGAAGCTTTCTCATGTAAATGCTATAAATAGACTAGCGTTGTATTTCTTTTCTGTGCAACTTCGTTGCCTTCCTTGCCTTCCGCCGTTCGCCATCCCTCTGGCTTCTTATTCCCATCCTATCCTGTCAGCGCCTGATCGAATCTTGGAGAACAGGATAGAAAATTCTCGTATTGTTGGCTGCATGCTGGTTGGTTAAATCTAATCCAGTCGATCACGTGAATTTTCTTCCAGAAGCTTTCTCATGTAAATGCTATAAATAGACTAGCGTTGTATTTATTTTCGCATTCTTTGCCTTCTTGCCTTCGCCTTCGCCATCACCTCTGGCTTCTTATTCCTTGTTATTTTGGAATATAAATCTTTCCTGTTCAACCGTGTTTTGATTCTTGGGAACTAGTCTAGTGTTTTGTGTCAGAGAATACTAAGCAATAGGATTTAGCCGGGAATTATCTAAGCAAGCGTTACAATACTGAGGTTATAACGAATCCTAAATCGCATTCCGTAGAAGCAGGCATGCGCAATTAGTAATGGGTGCTTTTTTTTCTGAGTTCAGTTTCCATTAAGTTATGGCTTTGTGAAAGCTTTGCTTGTTGCAGTGTGCAACGTGTTCACCTGTGATCCAAAGTATAAAACGTTTATGAATGATCCTCCATGCATATGATGTCCAGGTTATTCCTACGCATTTAGGGAATTTAGCTCTCACTCTAAGTTATCTTTTAGAATTCTTAGTTCGATTCTCAGTTTTTGTGATCTTAGCCGTTATTCATAGCCTTAAAGCTTATCGCGACCGGATGAGATGATAGATCATGTTAACGTTTTGATTGACCATTTGGTAGTACAGATGTTACGTCTGCTGGTAGCTCTCGTTGTCGGTCACAAAGGCATGAGAAGATTAAGTAGAAAAGAAAATTCAGGCTATGACTGAGTCAATTCGGATTGGCTTCAAAACCTTGAAATACCATTAGTGATCGACTATTTAGAGTAAAATCCGGGTAACGTAAGACTGATTTAATTAAACATAACTTCAAAACGATTCAGTATGCCTTCAAGACACTCAAGACCTGCCTAAATATGTGTTTACAATTTAAAGCGTACAACTAATCATTCGTGACAAACCCAATCGTTATTATTAATTAACGAAAATACCATGAAACTTAAGGCGTGAAGTAAAAATTACATTCAAAATTCTGAGAAATGTTTGTTCAATAACTGATATGACATATTACCTACAAAAAAACATACGGTAAGTGTGGTATAACACAGAAGCCTGTTGAATTCTTGTACAGAAAACGCCATCGCGAAGAGCAGTTTACTTTTACCCCAATAATTCTTGTCATTTACATCTCCACACATAAAGCGCTGATTTTCGACCACCACCAATGCAGCCGACATAACTCGTGCCAAATATTGTATTGTAGATTACAGAATCTGAAACATTATTTGAAATTTTTTGTGGAAAAGATTAGTTCTCTGTAGAAAGCCAGTATATCCAGTAAAATACTCATTTAATCGAGCAACCTTTTACAGTAAAAATGTTCGCATTTTAAACATTTTGATCTTGCTTTTAAACTAACATGCTTTGAGTAACACATTATAGTTTGTGACTACATTTTATTATTATTGTGAATATTACCATTATTAGGTGAAAAGCCTATTTAAGTCTAAGGAAAACAGAAAGAAGTTAATTAGTTGTAGTGAAATTTTTATCTAGGAAAACCACGTGACTGTTTGAGTCGTCTTCATGCCACTCAAGAGTTTACAGAATATGTAACGACAACTTTCCTATTCACAAAATTTAACTGTCACGAAGAAATTTCATTAATCTTTGAATCACCCTGTCTCCATGACGTCTCTATGGTGTAAAGGGGGAACCAAAGTGTGAGTTACTATGGGGAAATCTGTTCATAGCGGATTAAGTCAGTAGACCCAGAAGAAAACCACCACACGGAGTTCGAAAAGTCAAAGAAATAGCGGGAAAATTTTAAGCCTATCTGGAAACATACGGGAAAATAAGATGTACGACTCCTAAGAGTTCAGTCAGTTGGTAAAGGGTGCACGAAACCTGGCTATAACGTGGTGATATACCCATGCTTCAAATCGATAACAATAAATTGATGTGATGGTCACATAATTTATTGCTAGTGACCGTTCATAAAAAAAGTCAGTTAATTGATGTCGGTCACGTTATTTGGTCACTAGCACATAGTTTACAAAGCTCCATCACTTCAAGTTCGAGGGCTGGATGAACTGTAATTAATTATAAGTTATAATTTGAAAACAATAGCTCGCTGCACGTGTCGATCCCACTTCAAGTACGGTCCAAAAGCCTTGAAAATGTATTTTGGAACTTATTTCTGACTTACGTGAAATCTTTTATAGAATACTGCACACAAGCAGTTTTAGGCCTTAAGATATCATCTATCTTATACAAGAAGTGAGTATTAAGTAATCCTAAAGCATTTTCAATCTGTCCATTTTGGGCCATAAATACGATTAGATTAAGCCTGTAACGCAAGTATCCTAAATGATTCAGTTTTAAATATCTCGTGACTTCTAGTCCTATATGCCCTCACTAAATGGTTCGGAAACGATAGTCAAACTAATTCAGATTTATGGTCTACTTTTCTCATTCTGTAATCATAGGGTTGATGAAGAAGAACCAGCACCGTCGATGAGTATTTTAAAGAAGAAAACAAAATTTTTCAGAAATACCACAACAATAAAGTAAGGTAAAGTGGTTAATGTAATAAAAGGCTATAGAAACTCAGAGTTGAAGGTAAGGTATACTCATAATATTGTGTAAGTGGTAAATAATTGGCTAAGAAACATTTTTAAAAAGTAAAGTGACACAAAGACAGGCGAGTTTATCCATGAATAAATCCGAACTTCTGCCTTATGTTAGGCTAAAAGGCATCACTCGGTTAACCGCACGAAATTTCAGCGTAGTTTGAAATTCATAGAAACACAACGCGCGCTGACTGATCTGGAGTGACGCCAGACCGTTGATTCCACTTTAGTCTATGGCAGTCCAGAGATCTTCTGAGGAATCAACTATGGACGCTGATTCTACATCCGTCAAGGTGGCTGTGAGGTAGGATCACACTGATCTGTAGTAACTCCCTAGGATTCGACCTCAGAGTGCTAAGGAGAAAGCAGAGATGAATCATATATGTACTACAGTGACCTCAAATGAACCGCAGATAGTGATTGGAAAAGACGCTATGTTTACTTATGACCATGTTTTCAATATGAATGCTTGTCAGGATCATATTTTTCAAACTTTGGCAAAACCACTAATTGATGGGTTTGTTATTCTTTTTCTTGTTAATTTCTGTAGTTGTATGGATGGATATAACGCAACAATAATAGCTTACGGTCAGGTACGTTGTTTGTTTCTAATTTAGTAGACGGGCTCCGGCAAAACATACACTATGGGTACAGGTTTCGATTTTAGTTGCAGTCACACGGATGCTGGCATCGTTCCTCGTGCTGTACAGTATTTATTTGCTAGCGTAGCAAAGCGTAGAGCTGAAGCCGCTGCAAAAGAACAGCCAGTTCCTGAATTTAAAGTTGTCGCCCAATTCTTAGAGGTACGTTAATCTCCAGTGTTTTAAGAATGATATACCGAATAAAACTAATGCACGTAGTTTATCAGTTTTAATTAATAATACTCTTTGTATGTCGACACCAACTCACACTGACAATCTAATTATTACGTCAAAAATTCACTGGACGGTGTCAGCACATTAGATTCAAGCTTTCAATCGTGTGTGAATTTCTGAGCTTTCGGTCGTGAATCTGAGCACCTTCCAAACAGTGCGACAGCTCATTTACCGAAGTTTAGAAAGCTGAATGATATTCGTATTATTGTCTTTTCCTTTTAACTTTGCCGGTCTGTACTTGTTAGAAGTACTTAACAGAGCTTACTTATCGGTCCCATTGGATCATTAATCCTAAGAACTGTTCTTGGGGGTGCGATCATCATTCAAGGTAACTCATTACACAATATAGTAAACTGCTTAACAAAGACATCTACACTTAATTATGGTGATACGCATACATATTTTGGGAGTAAAGTCTTGAAGCAATCATAGGGGAAAACAAGGTACGATAAACAGTATTCAAGTCTTTTTGTAGCTCAAAACTTCATGGTTAATAAAAGTATAATATTGGAGATACGATTTCTGAATCCATTTTAACCGTTATTACCTGGTTTATATCGATGACTGGTGGCGCTATATAAACAGTATGCCGTATCCATTGTCCATGGAAGGCCAATAGTTTTTGTATAAGACCAGTTAGTGGCGACTGTCGGATTGGGCTAGTCATTAAAAATTCTTAGATTTGTTGAATGGTCCAATCATTCTCGTTAATGTTTTCGTATTAATCTAAACGAGATATAGTCTGTAATCCCAAAACCTCTTTATGCTAGACTTTTCAAGCTCTACTTGGACACCTCTTGTCGAGTTAGAACTTAGGGCGAACTGAAATCCGAATTCATTATCTCGAGTTGTGTTCGTCATGACTGTCCACTTTCTCCATTCCTGCTTAACTTTGTCGTTGATGTGCTTCGAGGATACGAAACTTTCATCATCCGACTTCTCAGGAATCCATCTTTTACCAGGAGATTAACTTGTTGACTTGGAATATGCTGATGACATAGTTCCGCTCGGTGAAGATGCTGACAAAATTCATTCTTCTGATCACCCTAAGTAACAATGCAAGCATGTTGGGGCTGCGATTCTCCCTATCAAAATGCAAAATGTTGCTTCAGGATTGGCTTGCTTTGGCACCTTAACTAGTGGTAGGGAGTGAAGCGGTTGAGTGTGTTATCCGCTTTACTTACCTCGGGAGTCTCATCAGTGCTGATGGCCTGGTGACTGACGAAATCTGAGCACAGATGCAGAAAGCCCGACTGGCGTTTGCCAACTTGAGTCACTTATGGCGTCGGCGAGATATCCATTTGGTGATTGGAGGACGACTCTACTGCGCGTTAGTTCGCTCCATCCTACTTTATTGCTATGAAACATCGCCAGTCAGAGTAGAATAAATTCGTAGGTTACTGGTTTCCAATTATAGGCGTCTTTGAAGCATCGTTCGTGTATCCTGGGACAACTGCTATCTCTACCACCATGGGATTTAAAGTGACCGTTGCGTCTCTCTGCCGATGGAATATGGCAACCTGAACGTATGTACTCATGTACAAAGTTCTACGTTGTGACTGACTGGTATGTGTAGACTACGTGGTTGGGGTATGCGAGACGACAGTAACCGATGGTTAGAGACTTTGGAAGACGTGTTTAAGTATCGTTTGCAATGGCGCGGAAGCAGCCACTCTTTGTTTATTCCCAAATTCTTACCTGCATTCTTCATGACCATCATTCTCCTCAATTCTTTTTCACTGGATTATACTCCTTGAATAACATCTGCAGACCGTGATCTTCCCGATTACTGCTTATACCTCGACTACTTATACCACTGTGGGATTTGAATCAATAATTTCATCTCTGTGCTTATGTGTTGTGGCAGCTTGAACTAATGTAGGTTCGTACGAAGTTCTACGTTGTAACTGAATCAATTTTTTCAATGTAACTTGGTCTTTAAATATTTGAGCATCGACGAATTGTTCTGAGTTTTGCCATAACTCATTTGTTAAATTTTCATGTAAAGTAGAGATTTCAGGCGATTGAAATTTACATGTTCTCAAACTATTCAGAATCTTCACATCAGGACATGTTTTATATACCTAACTGCCGCCTACTTCGGTGATCAGTGCTTCCTAATTTCGGAAGCTAGAAGTGGCAGAAACAAAATGTGACATCAGTCCATAAAGTCGCTAGCTATGGTTCCGGATCGTGTCCGTGAAATAACTGCGATTAGTATTTGGAGATAGTAAGTTAACTTAAAATCACTCACAATAGCGCGAGTGCATCCACTCTCTCCTCTTGATGTTGAATTCTAGTATTCCTTCATGGATACCTTTTTATTATCTCAAATCATATTTTAAACTATATTCTTGTCATTGATATTACATTATTTTGATCTCGTTGTTTTCATCTCATGCTACTCTGGTATCAAAATCTGTGCCAACGCACATCAGTGTCAGGTTTTCTGTTGATAATGTTTATCTGTCTTAAGCCAGGTGCTATTTTAAAGTTCATTTTTTTAACTTCAGCTTTATAATGAGGAGTTGGTTGATCTACTTGATTCTGAAAAGGTAAGTTCTTATAATCATGTTTCGCTTCTAATTTCAATAATAAAGCACTAAAATGTATGTTTACCGACAGTGCTTTACCCTTATTGATATACTGAAAAACATGGTGGATGACTGAAGAAATTTCTAGATTATTCTTATGTAAAAATTATAAATATACTAACGTTTTTATTACTGTGATTCGTTCGCACTCAGTTCGGTTTGTTGGAATTTAATGACCACCTGTTCAAGACGTGTTCTAATTTTGGGGACTAATTGAGCGCTGTACGAAGTCAGAGAATATTGGGCAATCAGATAGCTAGATCGTATAAGCGCGATCATCAACAATATAAATGACTAAAGCTGGTGTTTAATAACGAAAAAGTTTATTCGAAAGTATTACCACTAAATCTTTTTGTCAGTTAGGTGAGTTCATCTCAATTGTATGTAGTGTAACAGATAACTATGGTAGGAAAACCACTAGCTTCTATTTTGAACCATATTTAATGACATCTGAAGCCATTTAGTTACACCGTATCCAGAACCTCAACCAGAGAGTCGTGATGGGCTGACAGTCCTAAAATCAGCAATTGATCCATAACATGAAATCCATTGGAATGGCTATCCTAAATAATACCTAATTCATTGAAGTCAGTGTTTCAAGAAAGGTAGTGATTTAGTTGTGATCAGTATCCTGAAATACACATCACCAGACCTCATCATTAATAGTACGGTGTTTCCATTTCATGTCAATATTCCTTTGATGACAAAGGTGATTAAACAGAACCGTTGAACACCCCTAGCTTAAAGAAAGGCTTAACAACCACAGGTCAAGACCGCTCACAACCATGTGCTGTAAATCCAACTTCTTACGTTTGAAGTTACATCACAACAGTATTAAAAATGACCCGAAATGATATGAAACCCTTTGGCTCCCATAGCTTATAGGCTAATCCCATCCACCACAACGATACACTTACACAATTACCCAAATACACAAACTTTTCTACATTTTCTGACTCCACCACAAAGAGTGATGTCTGAAACCAGCTCCTGTCAGTCAGTTATGTGATATAGGGGCTACATTGGCACAGGTTGCTTTCACTCTTGGAGCATTACGTTACATTTTAATGGTGCGAAATTTGTGACGTATTTATGAACACCTACCTTCATTGCAGTTTTTCACGGTATTCTGTTCCCACCGAATCTAGCTTATGTTTCTCTGCCTTGGGAGTCATTAGCACTTAAACTAAGCGTGGCTCATACTCAAGTACCCGGTTAATGAGTTAGTCATTTTTTTGTTTTGTTAGAATAATACTGTCTTGTATGGTTCGTCTTCTTAATATTCCCCTTTGTCGAGTATGAAAAATCATCTTTATTCGACCTTATTGCTTATTTGATGTATCTGTGAATACTTAATTAATATTGTCTACTAGGAAGTCGTCTCAATTCTTAAGAAGCTGGTATGAGCGTTCTCATAGCTTATGATTAAGGTCCAATTGGTTAAGTATTATTAGTTTCTTGTTCATGTAGAAATTATGGTAATCGTTTATCTCTAAATGATTACGTGTGTTCTTATTTTTCAGATTCAAAAGCCTCATCTAAGACTCCATGAAAACGCACAAGGAGATATATATTTAACCGGTGTATCTACTAGACTCGTATCAAGTTTGGATGATGTAAGTTTTATTACTTAGATGTTTTCGTTCTTGACTTACTGAATTTGCATTCAGATATAGATGACTTGTAAAATGCACGTTGGAAACTAGTTTTGTTGGGAGCTGTGAGTTACTGATAATCTACGACTAATAATTCACAGGAGACCCATAGCCTTAATGTTTTTAGCTTTCAGAATCAGTATTTTTCACTAAATAGGTGTGTCAAAGTCTTATAGTAGTGTTCACATGATTATTGGTGTGTATCATCTTTGCACGTTTTTGTCAAAAATCCTTCGTAGTTAAAAAGCTAATGAAAGTTAAGTTGCTTCTCATTTATGACAGTGTGTGGTATAAGACTTCCTATAATTATGCTTCTAAAGCCTCTTAAATTGTACTTAAAGTATTGTTAAGCATACCCACCTACTTGAGCATTGAAGTCACCAGCCATTATAACTATGTCAGAGTGCTTAACTTTTTGGAGGAGGTCCGAAAGGTTTCTGTAGAACTCATCTTTCACCTCGTCTAAATTGCAGTCAGTGGGAGCCTAGGCAGATACGACGAAGAGGCAACGGCGAGCTTCGTTATCTTTCCGGATCTTTACCGTCCTGTTTAGTCGGGTGACGCACAAGGGACTATCTACTGGGAACCAGTCTAGGAGAACTAGTTCTGACCTATGACTCAATGCTATACCTATACCAGCGAGACCCCGAGAAGCAGCATCAGGGCTTCCAGATACACGAAGAGTAAATCGAGTTGGTTATTTATTTTGACGTAGTGAAATCAAATAATTGATTTTACTAGGATCCTGTATGCGCGTTTCCCAGACTCAGCATACATCGATTGAGCGAGATTCTAATGTCCTAGCTAATGAAGCCTGCTACCCTATTTGGTACAAGGTCCAGGCATTAAAAGCTCCATTATGTAGTTTAGAACGAGGTTTCAGAAGACCAGGAATAATGTTCCGCGAACTCGCATCGTTTGCATTAGCGGTACAGGTGATAAAGCAATGTGAGAGTTAATACAAATGTTAGGTGGCGTAGGAAGGATTTGATTTTGACCAATTTGGTCTCGCGCGGTTTTACGAGTATGGGGGCGGATGTCACATCCCGGTTGCCCACACCGTGGAAGGGTGTTTCTCGAGGAGCCTGAAAAGTAAGGTAGATTAGTGTTGGTCTTAGAGACCTGGGAGCGTGACCGCAGAGCCCAATGGACAACTATTTGAGGTCGGTCACCCACGGCCTTTTTATGAAAGGTTTTTAGAGTAATAGCCCAGCTTTTTTTACAAGCCCTTATTTCGGAGACAAAAACCTATGAGGTAAGATGAGTTGTGACATTTTGTTAGGTTCGTTACTAAGTATGCCTGAAACTATTACGGGTTCGCCTTAGTCGATAAACGAGAACTAGACTATGAACCAGCGTCCAGGTAGGCTCCCCTAACCTGATATAGCGTAGAAATATATTCTACAAACATCCAGCAAGCACAATGCATTCAAGCACACAAATCTCGTTTATTTATACATCATGGAAACGTCCTTGGGACAGTCACAAAAAAGCACACTAAAATACACAGCAGCCAATCACGGCGAAGGGTTTTCCTGGTGGGAAATGAAACCTCAAGGTCAACTGGTCAGCCCGTGCTCCCAAACGTGAAATCCAAAATAAGGCATTTATCAAGCGAGTTCTGGGGATCTAACGTCCCCAATACATTTTTAGGGTCGACCTTTTCTAACCATTCCTTCCTCGTGGGAAGGCAGCTTCGCTTGCAGATGCTGGTTGTCTGAGGGAAACACCTTACTGGTGTCACAACCCTCTTCAGTCAGCAATACGACTTCGCCCTCAGATCTTGAGTAGCTGCTTTTTGTCTCTCTGGCACCATTTATTAACCTCTGCTGCACAGCACCTAATGTTGGTTTTTTAGTCTTTGAGAAACTTTTATTTTCAACAAGTTTCAAGTATAACAACCATTTATTCATAACCGATTCTATGTTTCATTAGTGTGTTTGGTAATATTGTACGATTCCATTTCATATTTATAAATTACGCTCTTTTAAAGTAATCTGATTACGTATTATATGTAACCAACTGGGCTTAATTTATATTACTGTATAAAAATTCGGTCTAGGTTTTACAATTTTTCTATGCTTAGTCGTAAACTCATAAAAATTCAGAATTTACATGTTTGTATGT